GTGAGAGAGAGAGAGAGAGAGAGAGTTCATACATGTGTTTGTGTTTTGTGTGTGTACACGCATTTTTTGCGTCAATGTACCTGTTTTTTTTTTGTGTGTGTGTGTGTGTGTGTGTGTGTGTGTGTGTGTGTGTGTGTGTGTGTGTGTGTGTGTGTGTGTGTGTGTGATGTTTCGAGAAAAATGCGAATAAAAGACAATAGGATTAGTGATTGTTTTGTTTGTTTATTTTTGTTTTGTTTTTGTTTTTTTGTTTTGTTTTGTTTTTCTTTTTCAGTTTATCAACATTTTTTAAGCATATTTAAAACCAGATAATATTTTTAGATTATTAGAATATTTTGGAGATAATAATAATTTACTGATACAAGAGCTACTAATTAGCCCATAGCTGAGGGTGCAGAGCTGGATTCATAATTTTTCCCAAATGGAATTTGCGCGTAAGTGAATATAAGCAAACCAATATAATCTGAACGCGGTTCTCCGATTTTCAATTCCGAGTTTTTAGCATTTCACCACGTGCACATCAAAGCTTACAGCATCTTGGTATTTACCTGGTTCGATGTTGCTTAACATCGTTATCTTACGAGAATCGGTGTTTCATCGTCACATAGCCGTAAGTATTTAATGCAACTGGAAGACAATATTGTTTGTGTCATATACCTTCGCAGAAACAGATTTGGAAAGACGCAGATATGATATTATGAATAGAAAATTATATCTGCTAGGTAAAAAGCTTGAATTACCACAAAAGTACTGTAGTCGTATTTATACACAAATATTCCATATACCAAAAGATTTACCAATAATTCTTACTCTGCACACAACATTTTATTCACAGGAACTCCTACAGATTGGAGTAAAGCAAATCGATAAGTAAGTACTAAACATCAATTGCAAGAAGACAGAAAGTATAAGCGTCAGTAAAAGGAAGGGCTGGACTTCCGAATTACAAATTGCCAAAATCGAGCAAGTAGAAAGATTGAAATATATAAGAAGTGTTACAACTCCAAAATTGCATCAGAATACCTAATGATACTTTCAAAAAGCTAACCAAAATCTCGTAACACAAATAAAAAAATACTTAACTGTTATACAATTTTGATCATCCTATATGGCAGTGAATGCAGAACAATCTCCTTATAGATGAAAAACACAAAAATATGGTTCTATAGAAAGATGCTGAGAATGCCATTTTCAGCACATGTGAGCAATTACGAAGTTTTAGTGAAAATGGAAACAAAAATAACACAAGAGGACAGATGGAATTTCTAGTGCTTATAAAGAGGAAAACGCGCTTAGAAAATTGACACTGACAGTACATATTGAAGGAAACAGGGACAAAGAAAAACAATGCATGAACTACCAAATGAGCTTGAGTAAATGGTTGGTAGAACAAGGATTAGCAGATATAAGATAAGATTAGCAAATAGCTACACTGAACAGGATATTGTGGACAGACATGGTTGCTTACATCCTAAAGGGACACTTCGTATACAAGAAAAAACTATGATTCTCATTTTGTAATAACTCTCGTTTGAAATAGATGTCCTTCAATTATGAAAAACATTTATTCTCTTTTTTATAGGTATTGGCTACGTTATTATTTGGTTAAATTAACATAGGCTATGATAATAATGGTGCGTAGTGACTTTTCACCGAGTATGATGCTTCATTTATAGTAATTCTAAGCAATTCCTCCAAATGGTGACGCCTTAAGTGATTTCAAACTTTGAAACACACAACTCTATACGTATCATAAGGGCCTTCAACATTTCACCATACAACTTTATAGGCACAACAAACGCCTTCAAAATTTGAGATAAACACAAGTTTTTCTATGGCGAACTACTTTAAAATGACTCGCATTTTAATGTAGACTATTCGCTTTTACGGTGTTTTTTTTTGGGGGGGGTTGCTTACATAATCATGGAAAATGCTCTTTTATCTGTTATCAAAACTCTTTGTTACGGCCTGTGAAAAGACGTTTTGGTACAGTATTTGGTGAACTCTTTACAATTAGCAATTATTATGTTGAATCAGCGAGCAAGATCCAGAACGAGAACGTTGAGTTCAATATTGCAAAAATGGTAGGAAAAGTATCCCTGTGTTGAGAAAGAAGTAAATACATTTCTTTTCCTTATGTGTTAAATAGCAGATCCTGACTGGAATAACAAAGCTTGGTTCGAACTAAACTAGGAGGAAAAATGTGAATTCAATTTAGTCTCATGTGGGGCTTGTAACTTCACCACATAAGACATACTTAGTACAGTAACCACGACAGAAAGAAGTTGGTCTGTTTGGCTGTGGCATTTTAATCCACAGAGGAATCTTCATGTTCAGGGAGGAATTAATAATGTGAATACAACGTGTCAAAAATAAACCTTTTGTTTATTACGAGTACTGTGGGAAACACTTTATCGAGATGCGTTGGAGAAATTAATATTTGACGCCGGGTAACTGGATTGGAATATAGACGTAACTCGGTTCTTAATATTACAATAGTGTAGACCAATCAATATATTTACATTTTCCTTTCATTACACACGCACGCATATATGTGTGTGTGTGTGTGTGTGTTTGTTTGTGCGTGTGTAATGAAAGAAAAATGTAAATATATTGATTGGTCTATTGATTATTTGCGTGTGTGTGTGTGTGTGTGTGTGTGTGTGTGTGTGTGTGTGTGTGTGTGTGTGTGTGTGTGTGTATCAACAAAAAGAATTCGTGGATTTACCAAATTACAAAATCCTTATAACAACCGTTAATAAATAACACATTCTTAAAAAACATCTTTCGGTCTACAACACATTTATTTCGTCTTCGAGTTTTGATTTTAAAAGAAAAAATTACAGCCTGACGATGAGGACATGAAGTCCTTGAAAGTACTTGCTTCTATAAAAAATACACCAGATCCATCTGACAACAATTTTATACATAAGGATCGCATCATTCAGTGGATTGTTAGCAGTTTAATGCTTATATTAAGTCTATTAGCGAAGATATTTCGCCATTAATCGCATTAATTCAATGTATGATTATTTCTTTACAATATATATATATATATATAATATATATATATATATATAGTGTGTGTGTGTGTGTGTGTGTGTGTGTGTGTGTGTGCGTATTAGGACCTTGAATATGTTCTCGTTGTTTTCCAACAGATGGCGTTCCCAGAAGTGCGTACGTGTATTTTCAGATGATAAAACATCTGTAAGGAAGTACTATAAGCAAGTTTGAAATTCAGTGTCTTCCATTTCGCCGAATTGCAAACAACTTTGTTTTTCATAGCGGTAAATATGTCTGATTTCGTGCAGTAATTTACTCAAATGGAATCTGGTTGAGACTTACGGCGACCATGCTCTGTCGAAAGCAATATGTAGAGATTGGTTTAGATGCTTGAAAAATAATGAGTTTGATGTCAAAGTTAAAGAACGCTCTGGCGCATCGAATATGTTTGAAGACGAAGAATTGGAGGCATTATTTCATGAAGCACAAGTTGAACTTGCAGAATCAGTAGTTGATCACACAATAGTTTCAAAACGTTTGAAAGCATTAGGAATGATTCAAAAGCCATGAAATTGGGTGCCTTACGAGTTGAAGCTGAGAGACGTCAGGTGAGAACAGCAACTTTAGCGGCAGACAATGAAAGTTTTTTTGCATGTATCGTGATCGGCGATAGACCTATGCGTAAAAGATCATGGGTAAGCCCTGCCATGCATCAACATCGGCGGCAAAGCCGAATAGCCTTGATTCGAAGTTTTTGCGCTGCATTTGGTGGAATCAACTGGGTGGAGTCTATTATGAGTCGCTCAAACCGACTGAAAACATTACGGGAGATAGCTATCAGGTACAATTGATGCGTACGAGCTGAGCATTGAAGAAAAACCGGCCGCTATACGTGCAGAAACACGACAAAGTGATTTTGCAATATGACAAAGCTACATATTGCAAAACGGGTGAAAACCTACTTGGAAACGCTTAAATGGGAAGTCCTACCACACCCACCGTTTAATGGCACATAGCCTGGCTGAGCAGCACTTTCATTCGACTCGTTGTTAGCCTCAAAAGACATGTGGTTTTTTCGACGTGGAATTTAAATGCTGCCAGAAAGATGGGGAAAGTATTGGCTAGTGATGGGCAATGTTTTTAGTGACATATTTCGTCATGTATTTACATTAGTCGGACTATTGTCCTCATCTTTGTCGCCATATTTGTTACAACGTTTCGGCCATTGTACGCTCCGGCCTTCTTCAGGTGGTTGGAATTTCGAACTGAACCCTTTATTTCGATCACTGGGGTAGACTGTTCTAGTTCCATGTGCCATGTTTGATGGATGTCAGTTATCAGTTTGGTCGGTTCAGGAGTTTTTTGTGGTCTAGCATATGTCATATCATATCATCTGATATTTCGTAATGTTTTTTGTTAATAAAACATTACATTTCATAAAAAATCAGCGATAATTATTCAAGGTCCCAACACACACACACACACACACACACACACACACACACACACACATACACACACATATATATATATATATATATATATATATATATATATATATATATATATATATATATATATATATATATCGTAATTAAGTAATTCACGGAGTCTAGAATAATAATATCATAATTAAGTAATTCACGGAGTCTAGAATAAACCTCAACAGATTGCATTTTTTTTTTGACTCATCAGCAGTGCGCATCAACTACCGAGAATTGAAAACCAGACAGTTATGATATCAGGTAAGCGCCATCCCAACTGTATCAACGGGCCTCGGGGATGAAGAAGTAACAAATTAGACTCGATATAGCGCCGCTAGATCATATATTCAACCTACAGAGGGCGGCGATATAAACGAAACTGGAGATTTTGTCCGGATTAATTATATGAAAATGACAAAATATTGATACCAGACACGAAACGAAAACTGCAGATAGTAAGCTGTTGAGAAAATGAAGCCCGATTTTAGAATCCACATTTATTCCGGTGTTGGC